TTTGTCTGTTCTGGGTAGCAGTCCGTGACCAGGCATGTGTCTGGCAAAGATTCCCCCAGTCTGTGTTCCTGCTCACCCCCCCGTGCCGGTGCTTCATCGTCTTACCCAAGTTCATCTTCGGGTTCTCTCAGGCCTGTCTCCTCGGCGCTGGACTGAAGTCGTCCCTGAGCCCAAGGTCGCCTCAGTCTCTCCCATGTTCTCTTCTTAGAGTTTCACAGTTTTGCAGTTAGGTCTGTGATCCATCGGGAGTTAATTTTTGTGAAGGAGGAAAGTTCTTCATCCAGATTCGTTTTTTGCATGTGTCTGTCCAGCTGTCCCAGCACCGCTTGTTGGAGTGACCATCCCTCCCCGCGGCACTGCCCTTGCTCCTTTGTCAAAAGTGAGTCGACTCAATTATGTGGGTCTGTTCCTGGCTCTCCAGGCTGTTCTGGCGATCCGTCTGTTCTCTCCCCAACACACAGTCTCGATCGCTTTTCTTTTATTCTTTTCCAAAAAAACTGAGTATACGTTATTAAAATGCTGACATAATGTAGCAATCAAGTCTCCGGGGTAATCTTAGAATTCAACCCTCCCAGGAACAGACCAGATCTGAAAACTCTTTGAAGCAGGAAAACACACAGCCACCCCCAGGTGCCTCCGTCAGACGGGCCGCGCTCTGCTCTGAACCCCTCTCTGGGGCTGCTCTGCCCAGCCCACAGCACCTGCGTTGTCTGGGGCCACGGCAGATCCTGGCCTGCTTCCGGGAGAGTCCAGCCGCTGCTTCCACGCGCCCTCACCGAATCTGCAGCGCGGAGGATTGGGCCAGGTGCTCGGCACCTGCCCAGAGGCCGCACCCACCAGGGAGCCTGCAGGCTGGCCCCTGCGCCCTGGTTCAGCCTGTCTGCTTAAATCTCTGCCTCTTAAAACTGTGTACGGGGGGAGGAGGCTGGGGGGAGGAAAGCACCCCAAGTGTGCTCTGTGCTCAGTGGCGGACACACTTCTCGGCAGTCTCTGCACCCCCCAAGGCTGGCTGGCAGGCACGATCCTTACTGCCAGCAGGTAAACCAAGGCTCACGAAGGCAGGCGCCTCCCGCACACCTCCCTGCTGTGGGGTGGGGGTCTGAACGAGGCCTCCTGCTTCTAGGGTGTCTGTGTGCCCGGCTGCAAGGCTCCCAAACTCCTTACAACCACCGCAGGCAGATCTGGCACCCCTGCCTCTGGGCCAGGGTGAACCACAGAGAGACCCTGGCAGGTGGCCTAAACCTCTGCCGGACCAGGTCAAGTTCCCTTCCACGAGTGACATGGGAGCTTCGTATCATCACCTTGGGCATCATCCAACTCGGGCCTGATGCCGGCCCAAGCCACAGGCCCCGTGAGATGCCTATGGTCACAGAGGGATGCGCGTCTGGCCGCTAAGCAAGGTTAGTGGCTGACACGGGCCAGCCCGCCAGCCCGTGACCGCAGGGCAGGCTCTCCCCACGCTTGTGCCCCTGCCCCCCTCCCGCAGGCGTCTCCACCTCTGCGAAGCGTCCTGCTCACTGTGGTACCCCGATGAAACCAGAGCACACAATACATGCTGGCTGAGTCATGAACCATCCAACCCGCACTGCTGAACTCTGAGCATGGGACCCGGCGTCCAGACCCTCCTGGAGCACGGCTCCCTCTCCTCCTCTTAGCAGTTCTTTTGCTCACGGCCATCATGGTCTGGCCCACGACCGTCCAGCAAAGCATACCCACCTCAGAGTGAGCCCCAGCCACCCAGAAATGGCACGGGGGTGGGGAGATGCCAACCCTTTGCCGGACCAGGTCAAGTTCCCTTCCACCAGTGACACTGGAGCTCCATGTCATCACCGTGGACCATGTGGGGTCCCATGGTCCCCACATCTGCAGATGCTCCCCAGTCTGGGCAGGCCGTCACCATCCCGGGGGAGCCCAGCCACCACCAGGCAGCAGAGGAAAAGCAGGCTGGCTTCGTGGCAGCACTTGGGAGCCCCAAGGCCTGAGTAGTGGGCTCAGCCCCCAGGGTACAATGAGAGGGCCCTACGGTGCTTAGGGAGGTCAAGGACTGACCACCCCCACACACGAGGTAGAGTGACCCTCGCGCTGGGCATGAGCCCGGACAGCTCGGTGGGAAAGAGGTCCCAGGTGGGATGCCCTCCGGAGGCAGCGCCCGGGCCTGCAGCAGCAGCTCACAGCAGCCTTCGGTGGGGAGGAGGGAGCCAAGACCCTGGGGGCGGGCCCTGGCAGGACGGCGGCATCAGCAGGGGGACTGAAAACAAGGCTCTCCCAGAGGGGAGAGACGCCATGGCCGCCCGGGCCGCGGCTTCGGTGCTGCAGACTCAGGGCCCAGGAGCCCAGGGCCAAGGGCAAGCCCTGCGTGCCCGAGCACTGCCTGCCACGACGGGGCCTGTGCGGCACCAGAGCCGCCTGAGCAGCGGAGACTGGGACACAGGCACCAGAGCGAGGGCAGCGATTCCGGGTGCGCCTGCACTTCTCATCGCTCTCGAAACGCGGTCTGAGCCCGGGAAGAGAAGTTCATTCCAAAGAAGAGACAGGAAGTACTACTTTAAAATGGCTCCCCCCAAATATCAGTGTCATCTCTGGACGTCTGGAGAAGGCAGGAGGCAACATAGCTCGCTGCCGCTCGCTATGAGATGAACACGTATCGCTGTCCCTGCAAGGCTCTGTCAAGACTACGTGGAAGGAAACTGGAAGTCATGGGGATCTGTGTCCTCCAAGCCAGACTTATTAGATCCAGAAGTGTGGCTTGGCCTTCCCTTGGCAGGAAACCCCAGGAAAAGTGAGCAGGTGGTACTGTCTGTTCTGGGGGAGCCAGCAGGTGCCAAAGCCCGCTGCAGCCAGAGGGTGAGAGAATTGAACAGACTTTGGAGGGTGGGATTTCCAGGCATTCCCAAGCTGCTGGCCAAGCCACTTCCGGAGATAGGGAAAGGGTCCATGGGTGGGAGGGGTCCTTCTGTATGAAGCTCCCTGCCCTGCAGGCAATGCTCCAGGGGACCCGCCCTCCACTGGGTGGGGGCCCTGACACCCAGGCCTCCTGGGGGCCCCTGGGTGGGGAGGAGAACATCTCCACACTGTGAAGCCCTCCCCAGGCACAAAGCCAGACCACCACCCATCACTCTCCAGATGCACAGTGGTCCCAGATGCCCAACCTGGCACCCTACCCTCCACACTCATCTCTTCCTAAGTGGATGGCCACACCGGGCTGGGGCTTCCTCCCATGATACTGCAACCTCCTCTTCCATCTATGTCCTCACCGCTGGCCTTGGGGGGGTCCTCAACAAAAGTGAGGGAAACAGCAGCCTCCTGGTAGGTGAGGAGGCTGAACACACGCAGGTTCTCAGCTGTCCTAAGCTGTTGGCTCTCAGCCCACCGAGAAGGAGGCAGCTGAACCCCAATGCCTGGAGCACATGTTGCAGCACCCTCTTAGTCGGGGGAGATACAGGGATGGTTTCCCTGCTGGCTTGCGACTCCCATCAGCAGACAGACAGAAAGCCGTCTCCAGTCCTTCCGCCACCACCCCAAGCCCAGGACTAAAGACCCTGGACTTCAGCAGGCTCCACCGCTGGGAGCTCTGCTCTGGGGCCTGGAGGCAGAACCAATTTCCTTGCCTCAGAGAAAATGGAAAGTAACCACCTCCTCCTCCAAAGGTCACAGCACCTGCAATGCCTCAACCAGATCACCAGAGTTCTGCTGCTGAGGTCTAACCCAGTTCCTGCCTGCTGCAGCAACGCCGCTCCTGCCCTCCCCCCGCACAGGCATTTCCCAGTGGAGCACCCGTGGGTGCGCAGGCTGCCTCGCCAGACCACCTGGCAAGAGCAAGAAGGTGGGACGGCATGTCTGCTCTGTAGAAGCAGGAATCCTCCTCCTCGCTGGTCGCTCCTCTGCAGGATCTTCTCTCCTCTGTGTGTCCTACGCAGCACACAGCAGGGACCCCAGGCCCCCTCTCGGCAGGGTCCTGAGGGGGCTTATCCTCCTGAAATACTCCCTGGGACACCTACATTTCCGTGGCACAACGAAGCGAGCCTGGCAGGCGCTCGCTCGCGCACATCCCCCAGCCAGAGCCTGGAGAACAGAGCGACCAAATCCCTCTTGAGCCAAGCAGGCAGGGGGCCAGCAGCGTGGCCAGTGGCCCTGCGTCAAGCCTGGAAGGCCCGGCTAACTTTACAGGGTGCGGGGTAGGCTTACACCCCTGAGGCCAGCCCCATGCTGGACAGCGGCCCCCCCAGACGGAGGCCGGTAGACACCCACTGTGACAGGCCTGGCCTGGGCTTGCGCGGCTGGCCCGGGGCAGCTCGGGTTACGGTTTATATAACCTTCCAGGACTGGGACTGACACAGCCAGCATAGGGCAAGGGTATGAAAAATGCATGTCCAGAGCCTTTGCATCTCAAATAAAAGCCACCACCTGTATTTTGCATGATTCGGTTTTAAGACCTCACTCACCGGCTTTGGGAGCTCCAACAGGCCACCTCCAGGCCTCGTCCCACAGGCCCCAGGGCCCCCCAGGTCTCACCTTAAACAGACCCTGGGTCAGAAGAAGCCCCTTAGGAACCCCAGGCCAGGGCACCTCCACCTTGCAAGACATGAGAAGGCGCTCCTTTAAGAGCAGCTCAGAGTTCGCAAGCAGAGGACACAGGGCCCTGCTTCTGCAAAGACACCAGGATCCCCACAGCCTGGGTCAGGACAGCCCCTGAATTAGGAGTTAAGAAGGAGGGGCACTGACAGACACACCCTCCAAGTGCTCACTCTGCCCACTCTCCAGCATGGGCCGCCTCGTGCCACACTCAGATGCCACACACCGGGAGACGATCTCCATCACCCAATCTGCACCACACAGAGCCACCCCTCACCCCGCCCCCACACAGCCGGACCCCCACACAAAGGTGACACACCGCTGGCCACGGGCTGTCTAAGACCGGGTAGGGCAGGTACAGGAACACGGACACACAGGGGCGAGGACGCGCCCCCCCACCGCCCACCTGCAGCTCGCGCACCCCTCACCTGCAGCTCGCACCAGGCCACCTCCACCCAGGTCTCGGTGTCCAAACCCTTGTACACCGTCTTGAAGGAGCCTCGGCCCAGCTCGATGTCGAACTTAAGGAAGCGGCCGTCCAGGGAGGTGGCCACGGCCTTGAGGTCATCCTCGTCGTCCTCCTCCTCCTCGGGCTCGTCCCGGCGCACCCGCCCGGGCTCCGGCCTTGCCTCGGGCGCCCCCGCGTCCTCCTTCCTTTCTGCTGCCGCCTCCTCCCGAGGCCCGCCGTCCGAGGCGGGCGCCAGTACCGGGTCCAGGCCGGGCTCCTGCGCACCCGCGGGATCGGGGCCAGGGTCGCTGGGGGCGCCGGGCGGTGCGGCTGGCGCGGCGGGTGCCGCAGGCGCGGCGGGCGCTGGGGCGGCCGGGCGGCCGCGGGCGCGCTCGGCGATGAGGCGGCGCGTCTTGCAAAGCAGCAGCACCCGGCGTTGCAGCGGCTGCGGGGGCTGTGCGCCCGGCGCCTCGGCAGCCTCCAGGCCCGGCGGCTCCTCCTGGTCCGACTCCACCACGCTGCGCCGCAGGAAGCGCTGCGGCCCGGGCCGCGCCGCCCGCGCCCGCGGCACCCCCGCCGGCTCCGCCATGCCCGCGGGCCCCGGGCCGCGCCCGGCCTCCGTCAGCGCTTCGGGGGCGTCTAGGCGGCGGCCATCGCCGTCCATCTCTGCGGGCAAGGACACACAGGCCCGCGTGAGCACCCCGCCGCACCTGTCCCAGCCGCGGGATGAGACAGCGCCGCCGCAGGGCCCGCGCCCTGCCCGCCCCGCCCGCCCCGGCCGCGGAGGGGCCTGCTGGGCTGTCCCTGGGGTGGGGGCTGCATACGTGCCCGCGAGGCCGCGTTGAGGAAGGAGGCCGTGCCGGCTCAGCCCTGGGAAGGGCCTGCTGGGCTGTCCCTAGGGGCCCCGGGGCAGGCTGCAGGGGGGACAGGGAGGCTGGAGGAGACGGAGGAACCGGCTAGGCAGCGGCTCCACAAAGGACGTGCCGGGGCGCAGGAGGGGCGCGTGAGGAGGGGGCTGCGGCGCAGCGCGCACACAAAGGAGGCGGGCGAGGGGGGGCTGAGAACTCACAGGGCAAGCGGGCGCCGTCCATGCCCACGGCCTGGCGACTGGGGCGGGCAAGGCCTCACTTCGGGACGGGGTCCGTGCTAGGGGTCGCTCTCGGGGTCGGGTGGTGACGCGCTCCCTGGAGCCACCAGCTGCGGGGCCGCGCTCCCGCGTGCTGCTCCGGTTCCGCGCGGCTGCGCTCCGCACCGCTCCGACCGGGCGCGCTAGGAGGGCGGGGCATCTGCTGCCGGGCCCCAAGCCGGCGGGGCGGGGCCTGGCACGCCCACTTGGCCTCTGCGCTCGTGGCCACCTGCGGGCCTGCTCCCAGGGCCCCTCACAGGCCTCTGCCCGGCCACTGCAACCCGCGGCCCGTAGTATTCCTCGGCTCCCATTCCCGCGACCCTCCTGGCCCCTGAGGCTCCTTGGACTGTCTCGCGGGGCTGCTGACCGCGGAGGGCCCCTGTGTCTCCACCACCTCACCTAGCATAGCAAGGGTGCCAGACCTCTGAGTCCTGGGCTAGAAGGCGAAGGTCCCCTGCCAGTGGTACCCCCGCCCTGCCCCGCCCTTAGGAAGAGCTGAAGAAGATGCCTAAGCCTCATCCCCACCCCAACAGGGCCTGAGCCTGGTTGAAGGGTGGAGTACCTTTCTCTCGTTTCACCAGGATCCATCAGGACTTCACCACCTCACCAGGATGACGAGCACTTGAATCAAAATTCCTATTTTGCAACTGAACAAACCAAGGCCCTAAAGCTAGAATTTGTCTGCCCTAAATCCCAGAGCTCCTAAAACGGGCTTAACTGAAATGTCAGTGGGGAGGGGCAGGAGCCCCTTGGCCTACAGCGTTCTTCCTCGCCCACCTCTGTTAAATGGCACCTCCCCCTCTTTCCAGATCTCCCCTTCCCCCTTCCTCCTCTGGACTCCCACAGACATGTCCTTCTCTTCTGCATGTGGAAGCTTACTGCAGAGAAATTGCATGCAGCAAAGACAGCACGCCTAGTCTCCCAGCCCTGCTCACCTGTCCTTATGCCTGTGATCCAGGAAAGGAGGCAAGGGTGCAGCTGGCCCAGGGGAGATGCCCGGCTCTTCTCACGTTGGCCCCTGCCCCCTGGCCTGACACACTGTCAGGCACGCAGAAACTTTCAGACACGTGGTGTACCAGGGCTGCTGGACAGGGCGGGGCACCTTTGGCACAAAGGAACTCAAGCAACATCAGACCCTCACGATGAGAGTGGGGTTGGGATGCCAGGCTGACTTAACAGAGCAGCGGGACTGTCCAGGGTCCTGCAGGGTGCTGGTGGGTGCTGGAGCCAGCAGAGACCAACCTGTGAGGGCTAACATCTCTTCCGAATTCTGCTCAGCAACACCTGGCAGAGCTGGGAGAAATTACACCATGAACGTGGGCAGATGTCACATCACAGATCAGGACTTCTCCTCCCAGAGACCCACGGTTCCACAGTGCTGGCACTGGGCCGGGCATTTGGCACACACCTGCTAAGTAGACTTCAGTCCTGTCGTCTGCTTTGGGACAGGCGCCAGGCTAGAGTCCGCACGAGGAAGGGACAACAGCAGACACCAGCTCTACCAGCCTGCGGGCACCCTCAGGTGGGGGTCTGAGGGATCCTCCCCCTGGCGAGGGGCCTTCCAGGCAGGTGGGTAAGGATCTTTCTATCTTCCCTGCGGAGGCAAGAGACCCCAGCCTTGCCCTGTCATCTGCATGAACTTGGGCCAGTCCCACCCTTGCCGAGCCCCGGTATCCCCCGCTGAAGAACCGGCCTGACGGTCCTGGCTTGTCCCCTGAAAGACTGCCAATTTCTCCAAGGCTCAGCGAGTCCTCAAGGGTGCCCTGCGTCCCAAACCTGCGCCAGTCGTGCCTGGGCCTGTCCCAGGGAAATCGAGCAGGGGTGGAGCTACACATGTCCCAGACAGATGCACTGGTCCAGCCTCCTCTCTGCTCTCGCTGGGACCCGCCGGGGGCAAGGGGACAAGCAGGTGGGGTGGACATCGTGCCCGCCCGGTGATGGAGGAGACTGCTGGCCAGTCACATTATCGACTGTGGCCCTGTCCCCCCCACAGCTGGCAGAGGTACAAAGTATGGCGGCAATACGCCCACACATCACAGGGGCAGCTCAGAACCTGGCAGAGCAGGGAGAACTGGCACCTGCTCTGACAGTGCTCAGCCCTCAAGCGTGAGTTCAGACACTCTGCTTGCATGCCTCCTGTGACAGAGAGCTCACCTCCTCTGCCGACCCATACCACTGGAGTCCACAGCTAAGCAGCTAGTGGAGAAGTCCCAGTCCCCTTTGAAATACACCTTGGACTGGGCTCTGGTACAGGTCCTAGGATCCCGGGAGGGGAAACCCGAGGCATCCTTGGGCAGAGCTTGGGACTAGAACTTGGCCAGGATCTCTGTGTGTCCTTAGCCAAGTCGCTTGACATCTCTGAGCCATCATCTCCCTGGCTCTGACAGGGATAACAAGCACTGCCTGTCTACTTTACTGGTTGTCTGAGGCTTCTCTGAACTGCACCTGTAGAAGACACTCTACAAACTGTCTGCCCCAGGCTAGTGAAGACAGCGCCTCTCTGCTGCCCGTAACAGCCCTCTCGGGGGCTGTCAGGCCAGTGGGCTGGTTCTCTCCAAGTCACAGGTGAGCACGCTGAGGCCCAGCCCAGAGACCTTTCACCTTCAAGTAGCTTGCTCAAGGCCACAGGGCTAGCCACAGTGACCCTCCCACCCCTAATAGTTGTCACCCTGGCTACCTAAGATTCCAGTGCCAGGGAGCCCAAGTCACCCAAATCCAGTCTGTCCTGGTGCCCAGCCTGGTCAGTGACATGGGCACTTCTGGGGCCAGAACCCAGAGGGCAACAGAACCGTGTCATCAGTTTGCTCATCTGTGGACATAACGGTCATGATCAACAGTGTTGCGGTACAGTCAGTGTTCAACAAAAGTTCACTCATGGAGGCAGAGAGGGAGGGGGCAGGACCCCACCCCACCCCCGTCTCTGCTGGCATCAGGCCCCAGAAGGCTCACCAGTAGGAAGGGTGAGGTTTGGCCGTGCCCAAGGGGTCCAGTGTCAGGTACTTCCTCTGAGTGAGCAGGACAGGCTAGTCATCAGACCCAGCGCAGCCAGGCCTCCTCGAGCCCTCCCAAGGCCACAGCTCAGCCCTGCACCATAAGGGCTCACTGGACCACTCTGTAAAGCTTGCCCCAGTCAAGGCAAGACACCAGGGAGCCCATGTCCTCTGGACGCTCAGTCCCCAGGGGTGAGGGGATGGTACCGGGGGCAAAGTGGGAGGTGGCAGGAGTGTTCTATGGGACAGCCTCTCAGGGACCCAAAGGAAGGCTGCGCTGGGGCGAGGGGACAGGCACACGGGGGGCGGGGGTTACGGGTCTCTAAAGGGGGTTAGTTGTGGCTGGGAGGGCAGTTCTGGGCCCTTCCACTCTGACCTCCTCTCACCAAGTGAGGCCACAAGGCTCTATACAGTCTCTACTTTGTTGTCTTTATAATTAAAAAGCTGCTGTAACATTTTCTCTACTTCCCTACTTTTTTTTAATGTTGATTTTTAAAATAATATCGTTATGTCCAGACGGTGTGGCTTAGTGGTTGAGCGTCAACCCTGCACCAAGAGGCCGCCGGCTGGATTCCCGGTCAGGGCACATGCCCAGGTTGTGGGTCTGATCCCCAGTGGGGGCGTGCAGGAGGCAGCCAGTCGATGTTCTCTCTCATTGATGTTTCTATCTCTCTCTCCCTTTTACTCTAAAACCAATAAAGGAAAAAATAAATAATAAATAAGTAAATAAATAAAGTGTACAATTCGGTGGTTGTTAGTGTCTTCACGAGGTTGTAGGACCATCACTACTCTGGTTCCGGAATGTGTCCATCAATCCACACAGAAACCTATCCCCGTTCGCGGTTCCCTCCTACCCCCTCTCAGCCTGAGGCGGCCGGCAACCTCCTTCCTGTCTCTATGGAGTCGCCTCTCCTGCATTTCCTAAGTGGCATCTTGCAGTGTGTGGACGTTTGTGACCGAGTTCTTGCACTCACCATGCTGCAAGGGTTGCAGCTGGCGTTGGTACCACCTTCCTTTGTTTTTAATCCTCACCTGAGGCCATTTTTGCATTTATCATCAGATAGAGCAGGAGGGAGAGAGGGGGAAAGAGAGAGAGAGAAACATTGATATGAGAGAGACACATCAAGTGGTTGCCACCCACACGACCCCAACTGGGGCCGAGGACAAACTGCAACTGACATACATGCCCTTAGAGGGAACCTAACCTGGGTCTCTCTGGTCCACAGGCCGAAGCTCTAACCACTGAGCAAAACTGGCCAGGGCACTTCCTTCCTTTTTATGGCTGAGTAATATTCATTGAACGGATAAACACTGCTTTTTTAAAAGCATGTCCTCATGATAGAGAAAGTCTCAGACAGGAAAGGTGGAAATAAAGATTGTTCAGGGTCCTTGTGTTGCCATCCGAGTGTGACTCCCAGGACACCTCCTGCAGCTGGCCTGCGTCTGTGGCCGGCAGTGGTCCCCTCGGGAGGGTCTCAGCAGACTTGCCGCAAATAAGTGACTTGCAATTTGAACTGTTTCTCTTATGCATAGTGATTATTTAATTTT